CATCTGACTTTAAATTTGTTAAGTTAAATTTGAAAGTAGCTGTGAACACTTTAAAAGTAAATAATATACAATAATAAGGAAACTAGAGAAAAAATTTTTATTTTATTATTTTTAATAACAATAAACAATGAAGATAGGGTCAAAACTAAATTAGGTTATTTTTAAGATAATTGAATGAGGTGCTTCAGCTCCCATAAATAATTGGGATATAGTTGTGTAACTGGCAACTTTTTTTATTTAGATCAAATACTTTTTAAGTTTATGGATTTTTTCAAAAGATAGGTTATTTATACTTTATTTATTTTACAGTGATGCCATCAATAAAAGTAATATTTAGTATATCTATACTCAATGGTAATATGACGTTTAGTTTAAGTTTTCACACAACAAAATATACTCAACCAACATTGTTAAAGAAAAAAATCATATGGTCTAATAGTCATCATTATAGCATATAGATTGTAAAATGTACCCTACACAATATTAGACTTAAAAAAATGGTTTAAGAAATATTGGTTTTACAACAAATAAAATGAGTATAATACATTATTTATCATTTTTATTTAAGTATAAATTATAAGTGTCTTTATAAAAAAATTAATAGTTGAATAACAATTAAAATAATGGACAATTTAAAAAATAATGAAACATTAAATCACATAAATGTTATATGTACTTCTTTGTAAGTTAGTAATGAATTGTATTGTTAAAATGTTCCCTTAATTTTATTTTGGACATTATGCAAAACTTGAAAATGGAATAATGTAACTCATATTGGATTCATTGTTTCTATATACAGTATCATATAGTTTAATCTTCTAATGCATATGTCCAATAGTTTAGTTGTTGGACTGTATCTGGCATTAAAAATAACAATAAAAAGGTTCTCAAATACTTATTTAACACAAAATTTTAATAATAGTAAAGTAAAATTAATAAGAAGTATGATCGTCAGATAATAGTGTACATGATTTGGAAGGGGGCACTATAGTCAATAAACAAAATGTCAAGTGATATCACTCACTACCCTGACAATCTTCAGGAAGCTGAATGTACATACACAAGATGCGATGAAAACATATTCAGCATTGATCATACTTCTTATTCATTTTACAATGGCTTTTATCATCAATGTTAATRACCCAACCTCATCATCCATTGCTGATAAGATAGTTCCTCCTAGGCTATTTGATCCAAATGCAATAGATTGAAGATTATCATAATATTATTAACATACTTGTCTTGTAGTGGTGAATACTATCACAAAAAAATTWAAATGGAAATGGTTTGGAAGTTGTAGCATAGTATTGGTCTAATACCTTCATTAGTCCTAAACATTGCAAAATACAAATTAAATTATTATTGTTTAATTTAAAAAATATCAATCAGAACCTAGATATGACAAAATTTAAAGAGCAGCTAGTTCTAAGAAAACATCACGAGGCCATGAGGGGAAAGGTAACATTTCATTAGTTTTATATATAAATAAAAAAATTTCTTTAATGACTGCCAGTCTAATCAACTATGTTGGAAAAATAAACAGACAAAAAATGTTTCTTTTGCATAAACAAACRTGCATAACATTTTTTTTGCTTAAATTAGTTAGTGACACAGTCAAGGGCTTTTATATTTTACTAATATAAAATTAATATAACTTTTACTATGTAATTAACTAATTAATATACTAGATAATAATATGCTATTTTTACCAAATTATCAGGCTTTGATTTTGCTGAACTAGGCTTATAACTACTGCCATTTTGAATCTTGTCAGCACAAAAATTTTCCGATTTCTTTGTTGGTTTAACACTCAACAGCTCAGTTTTTTTTTTTTTCCATAAATAATAATAACAGATTATTGATTTTAATGACTTGTCAGGAAGCTAAAAAAAAAAACAATTTACTAAAACATGAGTTTTAAATTGTTAAATTTAATTGTATATCAGGTAATCAATTACCATTTTTGTAATTTGTGCAAAATTCTTCCCAACCTTGTTAAAGGCAGATTCAAAGTTAGACTTATCAAGAATGGACCAATCTGATTGGGGTGAAAACATGGATAAATCACGAATAGATTTTTTCAAATTGTGTTTATTCCAGTACAATAAGCCTAAACACTGTTCAGTGTCATAACCATATTTATTTTTTGAAAACAATATGTAATCATTTACTGTAAGAAATAAATTATAAATATATTTTCTTAATTTAAAAACAAATGAGATACAGTACATTGAATTTCTGAAATATTTTTGGGCGGAAACCAAACTAACAGTGATTTTGGACGCTGTTTATGCTTGTTTTCTGTAATTAACAAAATCGTGACATCATATAATCATAACGTTGATAAAGTTTAAATAAAAATAACAATGTTCATGAAAAGACATACCTGGCTGTGACAAAAGCTCTGGGATGTCAGCCTGATAATTAGATCCCACTCTGATTTGAATTGCTGATAAAAAATAAATTACCTATATTAATTAGACTATTTTTACATACTTACATATATATAAAAATATACATATAGGTATGTATGTATACATTTGTAAAGCATGGGACTTAACAAATATCACATATTGTACTTGACGTTTTTAGAAAAAAAAACACAGCAAATAACAAGCAACAGATTAAACATTAAAACATAGGTACGTGTTATCAACATTTATTCTTATAAATATAAAAATGATGAAGGTAGACAATTTATATTCTTCAACTAAAAATGTTTTTTTAGATAAATATATGGAAAAAGTTGTTTGTTGGATACGAGGTAAACATGTTATTAAAACTTTTAAATCCATTTTTAATATAATAATGTACTCATAATAAATAATGAGTGGGGAATTATCCGCATACCGCAGGTAACAATTGACTATAGACATAAAAACTGACGGATAAAAGCTGTCAATTAATCAATATGCAAAACTTCAATCCCTCAACTACAAACTACAAATGACGTGAACTCTTGGCTAGAAATATATTGATACATTGCAGACTGCATTAAATTGCATACCTACACATATTGTGTAAAGTCTGGAACAATGATTAAAACACTAATAGGCACACAATGCTTACCATCATTATAATTTTCGTCATTGTCTTCCGAATTCACAGGTGGTGCAGGTCGTTTCCGCTTTTTCAAGTGTTKTACATTTTTGGTAGCCATACTTCTTTTTAATTAATAATAACCTGTAGATGCCTACTACGATGAATGAACACTAAGTTTGGGATTTGAGCTATGTGATAGACAAAACAGGGGCGAAACAGTACATTAGTAATGAAAATCAAAAACCGTGACCGAAAATCCAGAGATAATACCGAGGTGAAATAACTAAGTCACATGTGAAATGTGTTGTGTCAACAGCCAAGTAGTTACTACTCCCGCGGTATTCGGTAAAGTAAATTTTACTTTATCATTCCTACTCCAGAGTATTAATAGTATATTGTAATTTGTAATTATGTTATTGTTTATTATCAATGTCGTTATAATAACATGGTTTACCACCAGTCTTGTCTAGTATAAACCACTTAAGAGCACGCTACACCCGCGTGTGTTGTCTCTGTCTTACACGCGTACTACATGGCAAATTATCGTTCACTAGATTCAATAGTGTGCTATTAGTTTTGATATTAGAGTGAATTGACCCATTATCAAACTTTTAGGTAAGAGCATTATCTGTGTTCTCGTGTTGGTTTTTTACGATATTTTGATTTTTAATTGAGTTATGAGCATGTTAAGTGTGGATATTTGTAAACTCACATAACTCATTTAAAAATTAAAATATCGTAAAAAACCAAGGTTAGGTTAGGTTTTATGAAAGATCGAATACGTACAGTGTTTCATTTGCTCCTATAATAGACTGCAATCGTGGTTATGTATWTACCCGAGGTTAAAGCGTAATTGAAAATCGGCGTTTGGACGTAACGGATAAYGTAGGCTACTGCCTACAAGCCTATTTTATACTACCTACCTATCTCGTAATAAGTTAGTTTTTTAATTCATCAAAAAATACAAACATTTAAAATCTAACTGTTATACTGCGAACATACGCATCGTCGTATTTTAAGATGTTAGGTATATTGTACTTTTAAAAATAGTATTTTTTCATTTCATCGGTAGATCTTTGAATTCGTTTCTTTATTTACATTGTCCTATAGTCATCTCGAATAACAATTAACCTTGAATTAAGATATCTTAGTTTGTGTAGTAGGTACCTAAGCTGCATAGGTATACTAAGCCAGACATACGCGAAAACCCAATACAGTGAAATCTCCACTAATGGACACCTCCCAATAGTGGACGTTTTTTGGAAATGGGAACACTTTCWCTACCTTTCAATAGGAAAACCTCCGAATAGTGAACTCTCCGAATAACGGATATAATTTTAATAGGGAGTTTTTAAAATAATGATAAACCCCTAATCATTGTTTTAAAATAATACGTATTCAAATTCATGTGTAGTGTCGTAATAATGTAATTACGATAACAAACTTGTAATGGGACGATAAGATTACGATTAAGAATCTAGCGATATAAATGTTTTAGACGCCGTGTATTAGGTAGTCAAGCCCAAATCAAACCAGAAACTGTAAAAAAATACTTCTTGCGATGTGGTTTCAGACACCAAGCCGATGAACAATTAGGACAAACAATTGATACCGAAGAACAATCTGTAACTTAGCTCTCATCATATTGATCGAAAGCAGTGTTGAAGTAGAGACATATTTTGAATTAGACAAAATCATTTCCACTCACAACACCAATCTAATGGGCACCGATGAGCCTGAAAATGAAGAAGAAGATGAGTCTAAAGAAGCACAAACTTTAAAATATCAAATAGCAATAGCAAGTTTACAGGATGCTRTATCTGCTGTAAAGAGCGTAAGTMATTTTATTTCATTAATAGAGGTAAATAGCAGTTCTATTTTTATTTCAGCTGTACCATTAGCGTATGATATTACTAATAAGATTGCACAGAGCTGRTAATTACAAAGCTCGCCAATTTTTTCAAACAAAAATAATTTAAAAATACATGTACCTACATAAGTATGATTTTGATTGTAAAAATATACTTTAAATAATAATAATAATAATTTATAAAAATATAAAAATTTAATAATTTACAATAAATAATAAGTAATAAACTAATAAAAATACTACATACATAGTACATTATTATAGAAATAAATTTCAAAAATGTATCCCCTCTGAATAGTGGAGACCTCCGAATAACGGACAACGTTTTGGTGACCGAGAGTGTCCACTATTCAGAGGTTTCACTGTATAATACCTGTGGTACAACCTATATGTCCATCTACACTCGTGATCTCTGACGCCGGTCGCCGAACGTCAAATATTGTTTTAAATGTGATCAAATGCCAAAATAGTGCAAACTTTAAGCTACCGATTTTTAATAAAGTTTTTTTTTTTTAAAGTAACTGTAGTATAATAAAATTATAGCATTAAAAGTAGCACACTAGGTATRTTTAAAAAATGTAGCGATATCAAGCTACCAAAAAAAACAACAGTACCTTAGTGTCCCGACCACTTATAATAGGTTCCTTGAGACTTGGATTGTATTTAATATGCTGCTTATACCATATTTTTTCAACTCCTATAAGTAACATCACACATTAATATACTTTCCAGCTCACGAAAAAGGATTTTTTTGTTCATCTATAGCAGAGGTCCTCACTAGAATTTCAGAGAGAACCAAATAGTTCATATCAAATTTTCCTTAGGGCCGCATACAAGTACAAATTGTACAGTTTAGTCAGGGCCTAAACCTAAACGGTATGGTTAATTACAAAATATATTTTTCTTATTGTTATAATACACTATGAAGTGGCGTTAAATAACTTACAAACAATATGATTATAACATAAGTTTATTACAAAAGTTTATTACATCAAAAAAATAAACATTTTGCATATAAAAAAAGTAGGGAAATGTCTTTTACTTAATTTCATGACTTGGCCTACTTGAATTTATTAWTTCKTTGAAATCGAATGGCGAAATCTTTCACAACTCTCTAATATGGCATCTATTGTAGGCAAGTTGAGAAGAAACTGAAATTCTTAAAATGTTGTCAACGTTCTAACTTGTTAACCTGGATTTGTACTTGTTTTTTATGAACTTCAGCTTACTGAATGTAGATTCACAGACATACCTACGTAGATGCAAAAACACAAAATCTTCTGAGCACAGTCAATTAAGTTAGTAAATTTGTCCTGCTTTCCAGAACTCGTAGTGAGCTTTATTCTTCTTTTTTTTTATTCAAAAACACTTTTGATCTCCGTATCATGCTGAAGATCAATTAACTCATTTTTCAAATCCCTAGCTTCGTATCCAAAAACGGAAAGATGAGCTATATTTGCTGTTGTAATTGACCATGGGTTTTTCACCAAGCGAAATGGTTCTTGATACTTCCTGAAGTCACTAAACCTCAAAGACATTTCGTTCTGTAGATCTGTCAACAGCTTTATTAAATCAGAAACATCTTGACTTTCATCTGGATTTTCATCAAACAAAGTTTTAACAGAASGAAAGCTAGAATAATCACTGTTTGACAATTCTTCGATATACATATTGAGTTTTTGTTCCTGTGAAAACACAATACTAATCATTTTTGTTACAATGTTATTGTAGTGTCCTTGCAATCGAGTCAGTGTTTCATTCATAATGCCCATTGTATCAGTGAGAAACGCGCTACTTTGAGCCACCAACTAAAATCATAATAATAATATAGTATATTATATAATAATTAATATTGTACTTTATTGTTTTTCTCTTTAATTATTCAATTTTTTGTATATTACTTTAACGATCGATTGTCTTTACTATTATCATGTATGTAATTGGGCCAGGCCCGTTTAAAATTTAAATAAATAAATAAACATCAGGGTAATCTTTTTCCTTTGTAGCTAAAAACAGAGTAATCTCATGACGAATACTGAAGAAACGTTCCAAAACTTTACCCTTACTCAACCATCTCACTTCTGCATGATAAAGCACGTCCCCGTATTGTGATATAAGTTCTTTCAAAAACTCTTGGAACGTTCTGCGGTTCAGTTCATTTGACCTTATAAAATTCCCGATCTTTACAACTTGTTTCATAACACAGCTGAAATTTTCACCAAATTTAACAGCTAAGCTTTCTTGATGAATAATACAACGAAAGCTTTATAAGTTATCGTTTTCCAAATGTTTTTTCAACAACTGAACGAACCCTATATTCTGGCCTAACATTGATRGGCAACCATCAGTACACACAGAAAAAACCTTTTTCAAATCAATGCTACRCTCGTTAAAAAAACTTACTATTGTGTTCAAATAATCAACACCTCGAGTTTGTCCAGTCATTGGAATCATGCCAAAAAAATTTTCTTTAACAACACAATCCTTGGWTACATATTTAATGAACAATAGTAATTGAGAAATTGACGTTATGTCAGTTGGATGAGTCGAGTGCAAGACTAAAATATTTGCTTTGCTGAAGTTCGTCGGTAATGTTAAGTGCAATATTTGCTGCTAAGTCTTGTGACTATCTCATGCAAGTTAAGTGAGACAGCTGAAGTTTAGAAACTTMATCTAATATTTGCTTACTAWTAGGTAAGTGTGAAAACAAAGTTTTACAAACGGTGACAACACACTCTTTTACAATTTCTGCATCAGAAAACGGCTTCATCTTTTGTGCTAAAATTTCTGTTACTTGGTAGGATGCTTTTGTAGTAAGCTCATTCTTGTTCATTGTATTAAAAAGGGTACAACGTTCTCAAGCAAATGACTTTTTCAATGATTGTAATTTTTCCTCTCTGGTCTTAGATTTTTTCGGGAATTTTTCTTCAAACTGCGAATGAATTGAAGTGTAGTGTTTGTTCAAATTATAAAGTTTGTTTCCATATACCGTTTCACGACATATCAAATATAGGGAAGTTTCTTTTTCCTTACCTTTTGTAAAAAAGAAATCTCCCTCCTACTCAGCTTGAAATGCACGGTTTTCATCCACAAGTTTTCGTTTCCGCTCTTTTGAGTACACTCCCGCCATATTTAATTACAAAATTCAATCACTGAACTAAGTGTTATGTTTGTAAAATAATTTGTTCAATTGATAAAGTTAGCCGCACTAAAATCACATTAATACTGGCTCAACTTATGCATGTTTGCACTGAGCTAGATAAAACTCCCCACTGATGACAAACAGTAAAGATAAAACTGACGACCGAGCAATCGTCGAGATCACATATTTCAATATTGTTGTTCGAGGCGTTCTGGAAATCACCAATAATAATAGACAATCATTTGATAATTGCCACTCGTACATTAACTTGTTGTATAAATATAAAATATATACTGGTACCTATTTATAAAATATTGACTATTTCTTCAAAAAAATATTTGTTTCAATAACTCTAAAATTTATGTAGGTATAACTACCCTTAACAGTCAGCGTGAGAGCTGCTAAAAAACGTTCCGAGGGCTGCGAGAGGATCGCTGATCTATAGAGATGCCATTAGTGACATATTATCATACCACAGAACATTCGTAAGAAATTTAAAAAAAATAATAAACATTGAAACTAAATGTATTAAATAAATTAACTTAAAAATTGCACTAAGAAAGTGTACATAGTTTGATGATAAGCAGTGGTTTAGCAAATTAAAAAGTTTCCAGAATCAAATTACAACTTTGAAATATTTCAAGTATTAATGCTTAATGCTTTAATGATTATATAATAATAATAATAATATAATATTCATACAACTAAATATTAATTATATTTTTTCAGATTATTATTGACTATACCTATCTATATTGAGTATATCAAATTATATTTACAAGTGGACCCATAGCCCATAGGCTACCATCCGTCCTTGTATTTAAAAATAAATCTCTAAAAATACTATTCATTACCTACCCGACTGGCTCCAGGAAAATTCAGAAAGTTTGGTACCTCTGACGACAACACCGACTCTGTCTTTAGTAAGGAAAATAATATTATATTTAAGTTATTATTTAAAAATATCTAGCACGGACAACGCTGGGTGGGATACATAGTATAAATAAATATTACTGTTTAGGACCCTTATAGGTACTTCTTAGTCCTCATATAGTAARTACCAGGCCTTAGTCACTGTAAGATTTACTGTGGAAAAATTGAATCATAAACTTATTAACTTTAAATTTATAGGCCTATATTTTAAATATGGTCCCCAGGGTCACGTCGCTACATTATAAATTAAATTAAATATAGTAATATTATATTATCATATTATTAATATTATAAATTATTGAAAAATGTCAAAAGAAAATATTATAATATTTCATTCATAATAGAATGAGATGAGTACTGACACCAAAATGTAAATAATACGGGCTGACAAGATGGTTATTTTTTATCTTAAATAAAGACAGTTTTTAGTCTGTGTTTTACGCCATTTAGAACGAGTATTATGGACGCCTCCACAACTGTTTCGTTCGTATAATAATTAATCCGTAGTTTTAAGTTAATCACTATACTTAATTTGAATAATTAAATCAATAGAACATAGGTTAACATAATTAAACAGATTTAAATAACAGAGGCTCTTCCCGATGCTCTGACAGTACTACGCTGATTCTTACACGGACAGCGAGACACGGTAGGGGCTCGCTCGGGTTCAAAATTTTCCRCTCAGCGAATTCCCCTAGACCGACCATGTGCGAGTGACCATGTGTCTCTGCCCGTTCACATTAACAAAATGCTTACTTACTGACAATGCAGACAGGGGTTCATAACATCCACCCCAGACTTCACAAGACATGGGGTTCCAATGATCATCATGTTTCATCTAATCCGTAGGTTTCTAATATTTTGAAAAGCTTATAGAACTTATAGGGAATGTGTAGGTTTTACACACTCTACATTCTGAGGTTCTGCTATTTCAGGTTTATACAGTCGAGGTAAATTACATTTGTACTTAATTAACATATATAGACTTATAATTAATATYGAGATTACAATAAAATKATGGTCTGGATTTACAAAGATTTTGGTATCGCTGTAAATTTTGTCAATTCCTTCAATTCTTTAGCATCCTGAGCCAGCTGATTAAAACTTTTAATATATTTTCCGGTATTGATTTGTTCTGGAATATGGCCGTTAGTTATTTCAGATAATTTGAATATAGTGTACAGACTATCATTTTCTGGAACTAAGTCTCTACGAATTTCTGATGAAGGACCCTAGATGGTGTTAAGATCAAATTTTCTGTATATAACACACAGTTATCGGAAATTTGAATTTCCCTATACCGGTGAGTAGAATACTACTAGATTTTTGTACGCAAGTCACTGTTACTGTTTGTGAAATGCAATAATACAACCAAGTGTTTTGCAAATAAAGTTTATGCCATTCGGCAGTATTAAGATTCATATATTTGAAATTACATGTTCCTGCTGTTTGATAAGGGGAATTGTACAAGAATACCTCACAATTCTCCTGATGTGTAGACTTACTAATAGCCTCAGGATTTACACATAATATAAACGAAAACAATGTTGTGCATCTTTCATACTGATTTTCTGTTAAACTAAAATGATATTAATTAATATCGTTTATCGCTAAATACTGAGTCTGAGGTTCAATGATTATTATGTTACCTTTATCGGCAGGCATCGGAAGTGGAATATTATGAAATAGGTTAAACCGAAGGTTTGACAATAAGGATACGGGTTACAAATACAAGATTCTGCTGAATATATACTATGCTTAACTCGGAGATTCTGAATAATTCGGGAATAGATAAGCGAGATTCAATTGTAGGAAGTTCTAGTGTAGAAGTTAATGTTAGTTGTATTTGTTTTAGTTATGAATCAATTCAGATGGAGGGTACACGTTTCTATGCATTAATTCATTTAATGCTGAACTCACAATAGAGTGGAAGTTTTAAGTTTCCCAAGTGAATTGGTTCAGAAAGATTGTTAATATTGCTGTGTGTCCAGAAAGGTAGTTTGTATTTCTAATTCGTTGATTGTTGCCGCAGAGCGTCTGTACTGTTTTTCTATTTCGTTTATGTTTTTTTGTAACTTATTAGTGTCTGTTAATAATTCATGCATGGTAGAATCAACATTATTTGCGACTAAAGACACTATTTGTATTTGTTCCTGTGATAGATGTACGTATCTATCACAGGAACGAGCAAGATTTTCGATATTTTTGTAAAAGAATTCGGCATCTTGATCAGAACAAACTCCAAAAAGACGTTAGCTAACCTTCCTATAGCACTGATTAATCCACGCGGCTGACGATTCAAATCTTCAGATGTTTTGTGATCTGAACTTAGGATTCGTAATACGGAGTTAAAATTTGATTCAATTTCCTGCATGAATAGAATCGTGGATTTCATGAAATCTGTACAAGTACTTCTTAACTCTAAATCTTCCCTCTATTTTAGCTGAATACAGATTTCGTCTGTCTGATTATGAATATTCTGGAGTAACTGATACTTCGTGTAATATGTAGTCATATTTACAAAAGTGACAAAATCCCAATTCGTGAAAGAGACACGAAGAGGACCCATAGCTTCAAAGTATAAGCCAGATGAGTTCTGTAAGGATGTAACTTGAAAATTTCCATCTTGAGAATCAGATATTCTATGACAGCCAATCACTGATATTCTGAAACATAATTTGGATTTCATTCATGAAATTTCTTTAAGAGGTTCTTATGCAATTTCACATGTTTATTTCTTTTTAATATGGTCAAATTCGGAGAGTCTGTATTAGCTTCCACCACTGTAAATGGTCCTAACCACTTAGGTGCTAATTTTCTTTTATTTGCTTTTTCCTGTACTATAACCTTATCTCCTTTGTTGAATTATCTGAAATTATCATCATTGTAACTAGCTTCAAAATTGCCTAAAGAGAAGTGAGATCAATAATGGCTAGTACCACATATTTCGACAGTTTTTGGTATTAACACTTAACAGCAACAAAATTATCTTCACTCATATTATTAGATTTGTAAGATTCAGTTTGACTATTTTCTTTAAATTTCTTAATTGTTTTTTTCCAGAAATTAAAACGTTTATAACTAATATAATAAGTTTCTGGCGACTGTATTTGCTACTAAAATCGTGACTAAATATCGTACAATATTTATAAACTGCACCTTGCAATATTCACCCATTCTCGAATAAACAACCGAAGTAAAACGTTTTATCCACAGGTACATATTGAAACTCCTTAATTTTTTTTTTAGATTTRTAGTAAGTAACTGGAAATTTGTAATTTTCATCTGATATCCATTGATCAGGTAATAATTTWAATTTTATTTCATCATTTTTACGGATACTGTAGAAGCCAATATCATTTTCTACAAATATTTGCTCCGCATCCGATTTTAATACATTATTTTCGTTTATTTGCAAATCTGCGGGTGAATGATAATACATGATGGTGTATTTGTGGTAGAAGAATATAGGAACATTATCGGTCTAGAATAAAGTTTATGWATTAACGTTTTGGTAGTTAAATCGGACCCCTTGGATTCCCTCACTCAGATACGGCATTGAGTACAACTCATGTAAGAATTATCTTCAGTGCCGTTGACCGGAATTTAATATAATGAGGGAGGTTGGGTACTTAGGTTAGAAAAGTTGAAATTACGATAAAATAAACAATAAAAATATAAGATAATTTAAAGTATATGATGTATAATATCTACATTAACAATAAATTATAACGGGGATTTATATGAACAAATATAATATGATATTATTTATGTTATATTCTTATCGCAGCTCCGGGAAAATAGTTTGCAAGCCTGCTAAATTTGCACTTATTGATCTGATTCGGATGACCCTCGGCACGTCGTCGTCACATAATAATATATAATATTATATAGGAAGGTACTATGAAATGCGCGCGCAACACGTGGGTTTCCAAGGGAATGACGTGTACGCTCTCTATTGAATTTTGGTATTTAATATACATTTTGTGTGTGTATGTGTGTGTGACAAGACCATCCTCTGCAGGACTGTTCCGTCATTGTTGTTACCGTTTACTTTTCTTGCTTTTCCATGCCATAGGGTTGTTGTTGAGATTTGTGGTCAAACTATAATACTACTTTCGTTTTCAGTATTTCTGCCATGGTGCATGAAAAATCGTTTAATAGTTTATATTATATTAGTATATTATGATGATGTTATTTTTCTCATCATTATTGTACCTTGTATCTACTACCTAAATGTACTTAATRTATATACCTTATGAATATAGCCATGTAGACAATAATATTTATTTTAACTATCGTCTATTCTTACACATTGACGATTGCTTCGAATTCTCACCATTGTTCAGCGGTTGAGATGTTATTTAGAACGAAACAATACCTAGCTATAATTAGGTACCTATTTAATATATTAAGATATATGATACCTATACACATAAGACCATAATAAAATACATGTAATATGTATTATAYTTATATTTGAATATAACTACTGCTTGATACGATTTTTCATACATATCTAGGGTTTTGTCAATTCCCATTTGGATTTAAACTTTAAAGGTAACTTTTTATTATTCTATACAATAGAAAATAAATAATAATATTAAACATTATAATATGATAAAATGGATACCTTTATCAACTTTATCTATACTAGATAATAATAAAGAGTTGTCTATATTATAAAATCAACTATTTTGTTTAAATACATATTTGATGTACCTATTTTTACTTGAATAATCTGTTTATTTTCTTAAAATTCTGACAACACTCGCATTAAAGTTGTCTAATGTCTATGTGTATCTTCTGTGCCTATAATTTATTTTTATATAACTTATATTAAAATATATTCCTAATAGATAGTAGATAACTTTAGCAATATTACTAGTTAGGTGCCTAAGGCAGGTGTTAGGCAATGGTATAAGTAAATTGTTTGTATTCCAGTTTCAAAACAATGGCTTCTACATCAGCTTCTGAAGTAATAATCAATGATATTCATGAAGAAACCGATATTTGGTCAGTAGGCAAATGTGTTATTTGTAACATGCAGTTGACTGGTGAGCCAAAAATTTTAAGTTGTTTGCATATCATTTGTAAAGATTGCATAGGAAAGAAAAACTCTATTTCAGGTAAATTTTCTTCATTTCATTACTTTCGTTAGATAAGAAATCATGTCCGATTCAATATCATGACATCAATTTATATTACCCATATGTTATTGAAATTTACATAATTTCAATATTATAATGAATTTTAAAATATTGTTAAATTATAGGCGTGGAATGCAAATGTCTATCAGTCACCAAAGGCAAACTGATTGACTATCCAATTGAATCAACAAATTTAAGTATCAGCAAAGAACATAACTTAAACGCAACTATGACTTATCCAATGTTGGAAGAATTTCCTGTATGTTCTTGTTGTAAAATTGTAAGATGTTTTTCAATACATAGGTACAAGAAAAAAAAGCTAAAATATTTWATATGGCCCTTGAGTTTATGTTAAATTCTTATGGATTTCTAATTTTACTACCAAAATCGTTTAAATAATATGTAATTTTTCTTAATTATATACTAAAATTAAATTGTTGGAGACTAACTAAAAATACAATAAATATATACAAATATTTCATGAGTTTACAGTAATATACCTAMCTCTCCCTAGAAAAAGCCATAGTCCAACGTTTGAGAAGCAGAGTCTGTATTGTTATAAAGAGATAGGTAGCCAATATCATTGATTATAAAATATACTAAATAATAATTAATAATCAAAGTCAATACCTAGAGAGCATTGATATACCAATACATATGCATATTATGATACTATGATAGCATTAAGAAGTTCCTAAAAATGTCTTATATTGTTAAACTTAACTCTCTCTCTCACACACACAATATTAATATGTATAGAATTTAGATGGGTTATATATATGTACATGTAATATTTTTTTAATGGCATTGMTCCAAAAATTTACCTGTGTACGCCATCAACATCATGTAACTATTATCTTTGATAATAAATACTAAAGTATTATTATAAATGCTATAATATTTAATTTAATTGAATAATTTATTTTAGACAGGTGCAGATGTTTACTGTACTGAATGTTCAATATTGTCGTGTCAATTTTGTCATTTACACTCCCACCATAATCATAACTATAAAATTCTTGAAAAGTTTCGTAAAGAAATGAATTCAAATATTTTGCTGGAGAAATTCAAACTGGAGTATGATAAGTATTATATGTATAATAAAAAATAAAAATTATATATTAAGGCATTTATTTATTTATCTATATCTTATTTTTTTTCTGACAAATAGCCATAATATTAAAAATAACTTAAACTATGAATCATTGTTCATACAAATTCAACATTTTGGAATTATTATTAAATGTTAAGACTACCTACTTAATAAACTTAAGAGAAACTTACTTATTTAAGTATGATTAACAAAATATTTTTCCAGATTAAATCAATATTATAATCGAAATATATAATATGTAAAAATTTGATAATTTTATTTTATTACATAAGCGCTTTTATATTTATATATTCACTTAGGTTTATAAATCTGTATATATTATGATAAAGTTACATTTTTTAAATCAGAGGTCAATCATTTTATAAAAAAATATTGTTTTWAGATAGAAGATACGTTATAAACTAACAATAAATGTTTTCAGATTGAATAACAAAAATCTAGATTTGTCGTTAGAAGAAACAAAAAAGCAAATTGAAAATCTGGAAATTAAAAAAAGTGGTATCCATGAAGAAATTGATAAAGAAACAGAAATGTAATATTTGACACACCTATCTATATTATTTTAAACTCAATTTAAATTAAATACGGTCATGTAAGTAGTATTTAAACATTTTTTTTTTTTTTTTAACTTTTTTCAGGTTGCATAAAGAAATAAGTAACCGAGCATTAGAGCTAAAATATTTAGTTGACAATTGTTTTATAGATACGATTGGTGAAACTTATAAGAATGAGCAAACACTTAAGAATTTACAAAATAAAAATAATTATTATATTGAAATAACAAAATCTGTTTTGAATCATAATAATTTAGTTGACATTTTAAATGTTTCAAGGTATGTTATACTTGAGTGGAATACATAATAATATTATATACAATATCAGTATACAATACCTATTTCACTAATTTAATTAATTTTTTTCAGAGTTKTTTTGACTCAGCTAGAAAATGTTAACAATAATACCATAAATATATATGAGGTGATTTCAAAGTTGGGAATTGATTTGCAAAATAATTTTGATGAAACTATGGACAATTGCATTTCTAGTAATTTTATATGTTATAAAAACCAAACTGAAATTTACTAATGCAAAAATTATTTTTTAGCCATCAAAGAAATTGGAAATATCATTGCATTGCCAGTTTTCAGTTTATCAAAAACTAACGACATAAATACATCAAATAATGTTTGCSAAACTATTGTAAATCCGCAGGTGAGTTATATAAATTAGAAAACTGACAATTTGTGAACAACTTTTATTATTTATTACTTGTCAATCCGTCCATAATTTTAATCAAAATAGATTTTTTTTATTTGAAACTTTATTATAAGACCGTCCTAGCCTAGGCTATCTACATGATATGCTGATTTATTTTGATGTTATACATTATTGAGTTTTGACTATTTTAACTCTTCCATCTTTTGCAGTATTCAATCTAATGAATGGTTTGCAACAACTTCCATGTTTCTTTATCACTAGCTTTCCTCTTTAACTCTTGATAAGAATTAAATCCTTGATCTTCTATTATTTGACTATGTATTGCAATCTTGGTCTTCTTCTATGATTTTTTCCATCGGTTACTCCTTCTAAGATAAGTAATAGCAGCACATCATGCCTTAAATCTGACCTATTAATTCATTTTACTTTTTCTGTATACTCTTCCACATTGATTTTCTCTCGTATACCACCCTTTTTAAAACTTCTTCATTAGTGAATATCAGTCCCACTTATTGTTTCTATCCTTCTGTAGCACCACATTTCGAATGCCTCTATTCTTTTCATTTTTTCTCTTGCAACAGTCCATGTTTCACATCCATATAACATTATACTTTAGATCAGGGGTCTTCAACCTTTTTATGCAGCGGACATATTATTTTTTTAAATATTGCAGTCCGCATTCGTAGTAAAAACATGTATTTTATATAAAAATTCAGTTTTATTATTACAATTTTTAAAATTAGGTAGTAAGCAGCAGAACACTTGTAGCTCCTTTACTTTAAAAATTACAGTGAATCGACCTATTACGAAATTTGATGGTAAGAACTTTATCTGTGTTTGTACGTTGGTTTTTTACGATAATTCAATTTTGAAGTGAGTTATGAGCATTTTTAATGTACTGTATATGCTCATAACTCACTTAAAAATTGAATTATCGTAAAAAACCAACGTACAAACACAGATAAAGTTCTTACCATCAAGTTTCGTAATAGGTCGATTCACTGTAATTTTTAAACTAAAAGAGCTACAAGTGTTCTGCTGAGCGTAAATTTGGTATATTACGCACTGGTAAGACGGAGACAACAAATTCCACTGTTACGTACTCTTAAAGGCCACCCTCTTTTAATAATAAAAGTTAACTCAGATATGGGGTGATTATTAAAAACAAAAACATTTTCAATACAAATATATAATATATTACGGCAAATTAATTAATAAACATTTAGAAAAAAATTTTCTAGTTTTCTTCGTGAATTTTGTTTTGCAAATGTATTTATAATGTCATTAAAGCTCATAGGTCCATCCATGGTAAGTGTAGATTCAATCGACAAGATTGCTAACCTATTAAGACGATTATCAGTCATTCTCGATCTCAAATAAGATTTAACCCTTTTTAATGTKGAAAATGATCTCTCGGCTGAACAATTGGATGTTGGACAGCATAAATACATCCTTAATGMTATACCTACGTAAGAAAACAGTTCTTGAAGTTTTTCATTTCTGATCATTTTACAAATATCCATTACAGTTTTAGGCCCTATGTTTTCAGTTAAGCTCATTAAATAGCTTCTAAATTGTATACACTCGTTAGCAAATGAAGACAAAAGATCATTTGTGTATATATTTTGAAGTATTTCTGCTTTTTTACAAACWTTTGATTGTGATAATTTTATTATTTGAAATAAATAGTTAAATTTTTTATTGGCTTCATCATAACAGAATTTTCTTCTTTCTAGTTCAGAATGTAGATAGTCAATAATAGCGTGATAAATATTAATCCTTAAAGAGTCTCAAATTTAAAAATTTATTTCTCCTTCTCTTTTTCACCTGTAGTTAATTTTCTTTTTCTTTTGCATATTTCTTGATATGGTTTGTGTCCCAATTTATTAATTGCTCTCTCTTCATAGATATCAAACATACTCCTTAAATCTAATACATATACGATTCGTATAAACATACCACTGTTTCTAAATCAATCTCAACTGACTGCAATTGTTTACTAGTTTTGTTGAATCTTTCTAGTATATCRCCCAAAAATGTGGCCATAATAACTGTTTTAAGATAGTATAATTTTAAATATAGTCCATAAGCTTCTGATCTTGTGACTGATTTTTCTGATTTATAATTTTTGATAAAGGACAGTGCATTAATTATTTCATTCCAATTTTTGTTTAAACTAATACTTGCATCAGATCTTGCTGACCACCTGGTATCTAACTTGAGTATTACGCATGGCAGGCTATCAGTAATCAATTTTGTGTAGTTGGTACATAGTATGATGAAGTAGGTCTATGATTTTGACATGATAATAATATAAACATTTTCGTGACAATGATATAAAATAACTATTTTACGATTTTTTACCATGATTTGGTATCTTCCTACATCTTCTGGCAYTTTTAATGTATACCTTTTTCTTGGATGATGATAGAAGAATGTATTCGTTATTATCAGGTCATGTTTTGCGCAAAATTCTACCAGTCTATCTTCACGATCATTCCTTTTTCCTAAACCATATTTTCCCATAATGTTTCTTTCTCCTTTTCTTTCTCTTACTATTGAGTTCCAGTCTCACATGATCAGATTTTCTTCTCCWTTGATTGTTTCAATAGCTTTCTTCATTTGTTCGTATACTTCTTTTACTTGGCTATCATTACTGTTGGAGGTTGACATATAGACTTGTACTATAATTGTGTCTTTTGGTTTGGTTTCTAATTTGACAAGAATAATCCTTTCACTGACTGCACTTAACTTTTCCCTTTATTTCTAATGTGTTTTCAGCAGATGTACCCGAGTATACAAATCTATAATCTCCAATTCATATATCTCCCGCTTCAAGCCATCTACTTCTGAAATTCCCTGGATATCAATGTTCTTCCTTGTCATTTTTATTTTTAGATTGCCCAGTTACCACATTGTAGTAGGGTTCGCACATTCCAGGTCTTTTTTTTCTATCTTGTTTACTTTGACCATTCTTACGCCTTTAGTAGTCCCTACCCTGAGATGCGAACGGAGGACTATTATACCTCCGAAATCTTCTACTTAAGAAAACTTCATGTTCATTTCTTTTAATAAGGAATTTTAATCTGTTTATTTCCTATTTGTCTTTCGTACCACAGTGTAATCAAAGGGTATATGGCTGCTATATCTGCTGTTTATTAGGTATTTGATGTGTAGCTGTTTCTACCTCTAGGAAGTAGGAGGTTGTCTGCTCCTATACTCAATACTGTAGGAGCTGCAGCCTTCCTACAAGTCTAATGTTTTGCCTYTTACGACAGACAAAGACAACTGGTGGTCTATTCTAATCTCAACCACTAGAGGTGACTATTTTAACAYGATAAAACAATAATAATAATGTATGGTAAATAGATATAAATAAAAATATTTAGCGCACAAATATAATTATTATAATAATAAGAAAATAATAGTTAATAAGTATGTGTTAACATAATGGAAGTAAGAAGTTTATCTGAACAGACAAATGGCAGCTAACCAAGAAGATCGCGAGGACGACATCGTTGTAGTTGACGTTGAGGTAGTTGTGTATGTAAATTGTAGCACATTGAACCGGTTGAGCTGAGCATTGAGCTGTGGAAAAGTGCTAACAAGTATTATTTTGGTTTATTAACTTCCTTAAATCAAAAAAATCTATCCTACGAGTCAAAGAAAATCCTATACATCAGTTACCTTAGGGCTTAGACCGAAGTTGGCAGTTTTGGATCTCAATGATCCTTTAAGTTGTATATGATAATGAAGATGAAATATTCTTAGTACTTACAATCAGCAAACTTATCGTTATATTTATCAGAAACATAACATTTAATCTTCGTCACCACATCATTGCATGACCTAATTAATGGTATAGGTTATGAATATATTAAAATTGGAACCCTACTGGCTACTAATTAATAAATAGAAAATACCCAATAGACAGGAACGGCAGTCAGTATAATGCACCTAACAGCATGCATCAAAGAATTAATGCGAGAATCGTATTAATGTATTTGCAGTGAAACTCTTGATGTCTAGCATAATTATTGTAGAGATTATACTCCGGCCTAGGAGAGAGCGACCTTATTTCGCGCATCGATACTGACGCTCGCGACGTCTGCCAGCCGAATTTTCTCCCACCATGGTGCCATTCCACTACACGGTAACGTGTATACAGCTGCTTAAAAAACGCAGCTAATTAATTGTGTTGCCGGCCGGCGCAGCATAACATATTATAACCCGTAATTATTTTTATATACATAATAATATATTCTTATTGTTCTTAAAGGAACAGATCGTATAAACCGTATATATATTAATAAAAAAAATGGCATTACCATATTATTATACCTGCTTGTTTATAAATATACACACATACATATATATTCAATATTTTTTTATTAAACATCATGGGTATACATATAATAATATAACTTATACTAAAAAAAAAGAMAAAATACAGCTGCACAGAACAAATAATAATCATAATAATAATAAATTAACAAATTAAACATGATAATTTACAAAGATATTGTTATAATAATGTTAAAATTCGTTAATCACTGTTTTCTGAATCAGAAGTCGTCAATCCAGTAATAGTTAACGCGTGCGATTGTTCTTGTTCGTCCAGTATCTCATCAGAAATATAGTCTATCTGCCAAAATTTGTCCTCTTCCTTAATAGTGTGTGAAACAAAATTGGACCACATTTCAGGTGTCACTTTGTCTATACCGTCGTTTAATAATTGCCGAACGTAATTTATCTTAAATGTTGTGTTATTTTTTTTCACATGTCCTTTTACAACCGACCATGCCAACTCAATGGAGTTGAGTTCGTAGTGGTATGGAAGTAGACGTTGTACAAWTTTGTTTTGTTTTTTGGCCTTTTCGTTAACCACGTACAAATCATATTTGTGTTTAATTTCTCGGACAATTTTTAACAACTCAAATTTTATCATTGACGTGTTAGTCTTTACGCCTTTGGATTCAAGCCTTTTAATTATGGCAGCTTTTTTCCATAGAGAGGTTGGTGATTTTTCTGTTTTCGTTGAATGGTACGGTGCATTATTCATGACTATTACGGAGTTATCTTTCAATAAAGGTAAAACGCCACAGAACCATTCGAAAAATGTATCGCCGTTAATTTTGTCGTGATAGTCAGATGTGTTTTTGTTGGATTCAAAACACAAAAGACCACCTGCTACGAAAGCTTCGGCCGACCCTATGTGAACAACAATAACTACATTATAAATATATATTTAAATGTTTACCTGTCCACAGTGATTTTTTTTTGGTGGAGTTACATATTTCTCCATGTTGATGGCAAAAAAAATACTTCGAAGAACACGAAAAATACGTTATAACTTGTCGTATTAAACGCTTCTAATGAAAACGAATTTAGTAATTGTTCACGGCAGCTGACGATCGTTATGGTGTGGTGTGTGGAAAGGGGAACCGATGTGCAGCGACGGACGCGTTCTCGCGGTCGCTCTCTCCTGGGCCGGAGTATAAGTAGTTATAGAAAACGGACTGAAGATAGAACCTGTCCTTAGTATAGACTAACATATAATCTCAGACTAAACGTAATGACTGTCTTATTGGACTCTCAGYGAAAGGACTAATTCTCTAATTGACCTCAAACCTAACCTGATGTATACTCGTAATAGATAGAAACAAATGTGTTTATTGCACTCACACGCTGGTTGATGGGGCCAATATACATTTTTAAGGGATTTCAATGCATATATCCTCAATCTTTATTCAATTATTCGATTATACTTAGACGATTAACCCTATTATATTTTGATAATGAATTGAGTTATGTGGCAGGAATTATGATTGTCGATATGATCTTATTGGTTGAATACAAAAATAAAATAAAAGAGTGGTTTGGTGAGGCGCGATCGTACGCTCAATATGTGGAAACGTACTGAGAGTACGTATCGGCCGCAGTTGCTAGCTCCCGAGAGGACCACCCAGGATATTTAGCAACATATCCTTGCCACACATACAGAACCACGTKTTACAACCCTACTAACTCAAAAAGCTATAAACATAAATATTAAAAATAACCCCTACCGTACCACCCCATACACAATAGCCTAAGTTGCCGGAGCCCCCTCCCACCGCCAAATAAAAAAATAAAATAAAATAAATGAAATGAAATGAAAAGAAAAGACTTAATTATTCATTCAATTAATTCATGATAAAACAAATAATGTTGAGAGAAGTTAGAATTACGTTAGAATTATATCAAGTTCTAAATTCAACCCACAGGTGAATTATTCATATCGGTCGAATTATTTCACTTTAGCAGGTACACCGACTCCAATTTATTAGGTAACTGAGGTACATTAACACCAAAATATACTTATATGTTATTTTTTTCCCTAAGAAAAACCAGGTTATACTGATAAACGTGGATGTTTTATAGACTCAAAACTATCTGTTTACATTTTCAATAAAAAGCATATAGGTTAGGTTTATTTACTCTTCTTATTCCTGGCTTCATAACTCTTAAAGAGTTTTTGTCGCCTCTGCCATCTAATTTCACTTTTCACAATTATTTACCTACTTTTTACTCTTAATTATCCCTAACTTTTCTGGGTCTTACATTATTATTCCATCTACTCATTGTTTTTTGGACGACCTCTTTATATTTTTCTGGTTGGCTTCTCATCTAATACAGCCTTAGGTTCTCTGAGCTTAACGGCTGGCTTTGTCACATCATCCTCAAACATGTAGTTATTGGTACTTTCATAAATTTACTATTTTCAGTACTTCTGTTTATTCGTGGATCTCTTTATTTCTTTTTTTAYCCCCCAAAACTCGAATCTTCATCACATATTGGACCACATATATTTATCAGAATTTTGTTCTCAAATGATATCCGATTTGCTCAATTCGACTTGTATGAGACCATACTTCACATTCATAAGTTAGAGTTGATTTTATTGTTACCATGTATAGATGCACTTTAGTTTTAGAAAATAATTTAGATTTGAGGTATTTAGTTAGAGAAAATTATGCTTTTTTGTGTTGATGATTCAGTTACTTAATTCTATTAACCGGTCATTTTTTTTGCCTTGTATCCTAGGTATGTAAATTGTTCAACTTTTTCAAAAATATGTTCTTGTATTTATACATTGCTACCTAGTATTAGCTTTATTACTTTGGTTTTAGTGTCATTTACCATCAATCCAATGACTTTTGCTTCGTTGATAAGAATTAAGCGTTTTGGATAATACTCTCCTTGTCCTTACCAACTATATTTAAATCATGCAAAGCCTTATGTAGGTACTCATTTCGTTTTTGTTTGCACCGATATTGATACCATGGTTATTATTTTGCAGAAAACGTACAGCTTTCTCTTGTATGATATTAAACAATAGAATTGGCAGGATATAACCTTTTTTTAGGCCTGTAATTACTAAAAATTATTTGATTGAGTTGATAATTTGATTCTTACCTGGTGTTTTATACCATTTAAACATAATTTTGTTTGTGAGATGAGCTTACTTGGAAATCCTAATTCATACATTATGTTATAGTATTATAGAACAGGGATTGCCAATATTATGGTCAGTTGTAACAGTACACATCCATGGTGGTGACCTGTTGAATATTGTTATTGGTTAACACATAATAGAGAAATGTGCAGATGTGAAGTTAAAAATGATAAGTGTGTGGTTTTAAATGACTGAATTTACTCTATTGATTGTTTAAATTACTACATTCAATAGGGCCACTAACATTAACTGTTATCGTGTTGTGATATTTTTTAATATCGTGTAATCACCAAGTTGCAACTAAATATACCAAAAATTGGTTACCAGTTATAGCAATAGTTACTAGTTACCACGCTCATGCATGGCACGATATATAAAATAGCTGCGAACCTGGCTTGGCGGTTAAAATTTGAATTAATAATTTATTTACATGGGATATTTGTCATGAAATATTTTATCGAAGATATTTTGGTTTAGAGATCTTTATATGAGATATTTTGACATATAATCATTGAAAATCCTTTTATCTGCTATATATGCTGAATTGCTGAGTTTTACAAAGATAACAGTACGTCCATTAGCAGAGCCGGTTAACTTTTTCAGCGCCTAGTACAATTAWTTTTTGGTAGCCCTTTACTCTCTTTTTAAAAATATAACCAGGCCCCCCTAATTTTGGCGCCGTATTTCTGTGCCGTCACATATATCGATCGTATCTAAAGCCGGCCTTGTCTATCAGTATTTTTCACCATTTTACCTACACGGCCATGTTGTTTTTACTTTTTATGATTATTAAAATTATGTAAGTCATTTTGACAGTTTATTGTTTGTAAAAATAAAAAATGACCGTATCCAATCATTTTCACAAAATAATARGTAAATCGTTCCCAATCGTGCTTTACCGGAGTATAGTTAGTACAGTAGCCAGTAGGTACGTACTAACTATAATTATCCTATCTCCTATTCGAAATTATGCAAAACTAATAATTCAAATCGTGTATTAAGTTATCTTATCAAATATCGTACAAGTATTTTATAAAAATTACCAATTATTATAATTATTTACATTCAATTGTTTTTAGACACAGTCCATGCATCCTAAGTTAAAATGTCCAGTTCAGTTTCTAGAGGAAAACGACGAAGTAAATACCAGTGGTTATTTCAATATGGGTAATACAATTAATATTGTTATAAACGGTAGTTTTATATCTATATGATAATACTTAAATWACTTATAATGAATTTTCAGTTTTCATGAAAAAAATTTTTACTTCGGTGATTAAGAGGATTAAGATCACACCCGCATGTGTTGTCTCGGTCTTACGCACGTACTTCACAGCAAATTTTCGTTCACTAGTTTCAATAGTGTGCTGTTAGTTTTGATATTAGAGTTAATTGACCCATTATCAAACTTTTAATTAAGACCAATATCTGTGTTCTCTGTGTTTCTTATGATATTTTAATTTTTGAATGARTTAGGTGCATTTTCAAATATTTATACTTTACATACTCATAACTCATTTAAAAATTAAAATATCGTAAAAAAACAACGAGAGAACACAGATAATGGTCTTACTTAAAAATTTAATAATGGGTCAATTCATTTTAATATCAAAACTAACAATACACTTTTGGAACTAGTGAACGAAAATGTGCCGTGTAGTACGTCGTACATGTGTAACACAACACATGTGGGTGCAAGTGCGACGTCCTCCTAATGTTTAG